TTAGAGCAAAGGGATTTTTAATGCATGTTTGATTTTTTTTTTTTTTTTTCTTTTCCAATAGAATTCAGAGAATTCTTACATGAATTAAGATGAAATTCAATCTAGACCAGAATCCTGTTTTCAGATATGTTCAATAGCCAGTACTAGTAACCGTATGAGAAAGTATATTTCTCGGTGGGAGGCTGTTAGTTAAATGCCTGAAAGTCACCGCGTATTTCCCTGTAGTGACATAATTACAAATTAGGAGTCTTTCATATGGTGGAGACCTTTAAGTTCAGTTGCATGGAGTGATGTGCATTGCTTCTGAGCTGGGCAGCCTTGTAATGTCACCCTGAAGAATCATTGCTAACCAGCCTCCTGTGTTTTTTGTTCCATACGTGTGTGTTGCTGCTGCTGTGCTAAAGGTAACGATTTTTTTTACTTTTTAGCATGAATTCATCCCTAGAGGAAAAACTCAAGTGAGTTTCCTACAGTGGTTCATGGGAAGTACATAAATGGTTGTGATTATTGTGAGATACCAAAATGTGCAGTTTTACTGTGTGCAGACCAAGGAAATATTTACCTGTCTTTGTGGCACTCAGTGCGTTGTTCTTTCTACACGGTGTTTTCTTGCAGACTCTCCTCAGCTACGGAGCACAAGATTCGGTCAGTAATGTAGACTGGAACAGTATTAGTGTAAATCCAGTTTTAAGTGATAACATGTTAAAGCTTGTTTCAAATGTGTGTATGTTCATAGATCCATACATTTACCTCTTAACATTTTCTGCAACTATTAAGGTAAGATCTGCGAGTAGAGTAATTGAATGCTTTGGCTCTTCAGCTAACAACATAGTAGTTTAAACATATAAACGGTGTAAATTGTTACTGAATGCAAAGTCTCCTTTCATTTTGTCCTTTGTAAATTTGTTTCACATGGGGAATGTTTTTTCCTGTTTAGGGCGTGACTAGACAACAGTGGTGAGAAGTATATAAAAGTTGTAACCTTAAGAATATGCAAAAAAATTGAACATTATCTACAAACTTCTTTTAAATCCTCATCAGTTGTGCATGATTGCTCCAAGAGACTGCGATTAAATCTTACCCATTTAGTGCTCAAAGTCAGCACTCTAGCTCTAATTAAGATTAAATTGATTTATTTATTTTTTTATTTTTTTTTTAACTAAAAGCCACATGCAGCATAAAAAGCCTGGACAATCTGTATGATCTATGCATATGTTTAGATGCCAGGTATTTACTGGTTCATGTAGATGTACCAAAATCAATTTACTGTGCATTCTGGTTTTAAGTTTATTTGATCAAGAGTGTGTCAATCAAATAATACCAAGTTTATTGATCTTTGGACACAGATAAACAATCTTGTCCTGTTTGGGAGGTTGGTAGTATTCACCTATCAGATGTGTTTTGTTTGTTTTTTTTCTTGTGTTTGAGACAGCTCTGTAAATGAGCAGAGCCAAACTTGAGCCAATTAAGTAGGAATCAATGCAATACAAATCTTTCTTCTCTCAATTCTAGATATTGATTGAATATTTTAAGAATCAAACTCTAGTTAGGGGTCTGTTGCAGATGTAAATCACTACGATGGTGCTTTTATTTTCTTGTTTTTAGTGTTGTGCAATAGCTTACTCTCCTGTTGTAAATATCTTTGCAGTCTGGAGAACTTGAAATTTTGATGTAAAGACTTTTGGTGTGTGTCTGTCAGCATCATCCTGTGCCCCTTAAATTGCGCTTAAAAGTAAAATACACAAGTATTTTTAGTATTGGCTTCCCATAACTGGGAAATCAATTCCATATAATTAGCAGAAGCTCTTTGGACTCCGCAGTTCCTAGTCTGTGATTTGGTTGTCATCATTGCAATTCAGAATGCTTGTAAGAGAACAAGGCTTGGCTCAAAGTGGTTGTTCAATTGGAAACCTTTGAAACACCCTTTGAAACATTTAAGAAGGTTCAGGAAAAACCTTTTTTACTTCAGGTAGTGCTCTCCCCCTCTACTAAGTGTCTCTACCTTGTTACCCACTTCTTTCCCTTTATGCCGGATATGGGAAAGATTACTCCTGGGTTCTACTCCTGCACAAAACCTTTCTACCCCTCTTCATTATGCAACTTTTTTTTAGTTTAAACTCTGGTTGACATTGAAGTAACAGCATATGTTAAATCAGATTTTCCTCACAAGCATAATATTTCCTAATATCCTCTAATGTTATTTTATTCTCAGACTGTCTAGATAGTGACTCACACTTCTGTATTCCAAATCTCTACTGAGAAATCAACATTTCTTGATGAAGATCAGGAAGAAACAATTGCTGTCTCTGTACAGAATTACCCAACATCATTCTGTTGTATTCAGGAGGGCAATTAATAATTGTTAATAACAGAATTTCAGACTCTGTGGGGTCACACCTGCATATATTATTTTCTTTATTTTTGGTTACTTTAAGAAAAAACTTACCAAAGGACAACTACCCAGACAGTGCAAACAAGAAGACTGATTTTTTTTTTTTTTTCCCTTCCCCTGAGATACGCATTAAGTGTATCTTCTGGAGAATTTTGCTCCAGCTTGTTTGACCAGCCTATATTGAAATCTATTCATAACATTGTCTTGTATAATAGCCTTGGTGTGATTTTTTTTTTTTGTACAGCTTAAATTCTTGAGTTGGTTATAATTGTCTTGTGTCTTAATTGGAACAGTTTAGTAAGGGCAGTCTTGTCGCGCTTCTCTGTTCTAAATATTGATCATTATCATGGTCTTGTCTGAATTATGTTCCCACATGTTTTTCATTCCTCCATTGGGTCTCACTCAAATGTGGCGCTTTTTTGTCTTTAGTTTTCAAGCCTATTAGGTCCTATCTCAGCTTACTCTCTTTAAAATCCCTCCTTTGGGACTCAGGTGCTGACATCTCATATAAGTGTTAATTTTCATTAGCTCCTTATTGAATTGTCCAAGACAGTCTTACGTATGAGTCGCTCACAAAGCTGCTATTTATTTTCTAGTTCTTTCTTTTTATTCTTCTTTTCTTTGTTTCACAGTAAAAAGGAGAAAAAAAACCCAAAAACCAAAACAAACCAACCTAAAACAAGCAAACAAAAACCCCCAAAAAACCCCATGAAAAGTGGAAACAGCTTTCACGTGGTTAATGCTTTAAAGAAAGAAAAAAGATATGGGTTGTAGCTCTGGTTACTAGGACAGGGGAAGCAATTGAATCCTGAGTGGTTTATTTGATAAGGAGATGGTAGTACCATGAGCATCTATATAGGCAAGCTTTGTTGTCTCATATCCTGGAAGACATCTAAATTACTTTTTAGCACTCACTGATTTAATAATACAACAAGTTTTGTTGATATTGTTGTCAGCTCAATGGAAGAATTTTTTCATTTGTGATCAGTTTAAATACAAAGTACATCTCAGAACAGGAGGGACTCTGAAGGGACAAGATAGTCTCATCAGAATTAAATTGTAAGGGAAGACTAACTTATTTTTTTGTTTGCAGTTATTTGTATGTTGCTGAGGTGTCTGAAACTTTCTCTCAGCACTCAAATGAGATAAAGTTTGCTTAATTCTGTAGGAAGTAAAAACAATTTTTATAAAATTTCATTGAAAAAAAAATTCAAATTTTTAATTTGAAAAAAGGGTCAAAACCAGATATGCAATCTTAACATCACTGGGACCTTCTGATGCTATTTACTGGTAATTCATCCTGTTGTTACCAGTTAAGTCAAGATGGAGGAATATAGCTTAAGTCAGAGAATCAGAGTCTCTAGTTCATATCTGAATAAATATTAGAGAGCTTTCTAATTGTTTAATATATATATTAGTCTTCCCACTGTTTCTCTTTGGTGATGTGGGTCTCCTGGCAGATGCAGAGATGAATAGAAATTCTGGAGGTTGTGTACTGCAGACTTTCATGTGTGCTTTAACCCCATTTCCTCTGATATGCAGTGGTAATGGGTAAGACATTACCTGAGTGTGTTCTCTTAATGATAATCAGTTGACTGGCATATGATGCTTGTGGTTGAGCTTAACAGTCAACATTCATTGAAATGAGCAACTCTTTTTATAATAACATCTTTGGTGTTATCTTAAAATCTCTGCAGTCAATTATCTTTTCGATATTTGTGAGCTGGGAGAAGATGGCAGAAGGGTGGTCTGGGCAGAAGTCCTATAGCCATATGAAAATGATAGCATAAAAATGTTGGCTGCTAGCAAGATGATTCAGCACACTTAGCATTTTTCATCCAGATCTATGTGTGTTTCCTTAAAATACCATTTGTTAAAAATAATTCTGGAGATTATTTGCAGAGAAGTCAAAAGCAGAGGAATTTGAGGCCAAAGAGGAGAAGGGAATGAGAGAGAGAGGAGAGAGAAAAGAGTTGGGGGTTCTGAGGTCAAACTCCTGTTGCATTATCTACATGTGTTACACATGGGCAGGTCTGTACCACTCCTGAATAATGGGAAGCTTTCTACTGGCAACCTGCACAAAAATACAGTAGTTAGCATTTTAATGTGGCCATAGAAGAAATGAATAGAATTCCATGATTAATTATTAGAAATAATTCCATTCAAGAAAGAAAAGTACTTTGCTTTTACAGGACATTGGTAAAACATCATATTGTTTCTAGTTTGGCTTATTTGTTTTTCAAATTAGGTACTGAACTTACAGGAGGTGAGTCACTTGGAGGTGGTTTAATTCATCCAGCCTTTTTATTAATTGTATGTGTATTTATTATTTGCCATATTACCTCTTATTCCTTCATCGCTTTTCTGTTTCTGAAACTGTTTCCCAATTCTGCAGAATTCTTATCTATTTGAGTGCTTGGGTCATTACAGACATTCATTTTGATGCTTTGATGTTAATTTTGATATCTTAAAAATATGTGCATTTTACTGTATTTTTAATGAAACAGTTTATGAAGTATGTCTGGATCATTTTCCTGCAAATAAGTTTTTGACTTAATAGAACTTTGAACTTTTTACAAAGTAACAATTCTTCCTTATGTTTCTGTAGGGGAAAATGCAGTGTTGCACTTCTGAATGAGACAGAGTCTGTGCTGTCATATCTGGAGAAAGAGGTAATATGTGACTTGTGTTTGGGTAAATATTGGGAGGGGTTTATGGTTTTTTATGGCTGTTTTTTTAATAAATGGGCAAACAATATTTTGAAAAACTTATTGCTCTGTTCTAAAGTAACTCGTAGCAATGAGAGAAACTTCAATTAGCCTTTGAGAAGTACTCATGAAATATCTGCATTATTTAAAATAAGAATTAATGTACCAAACCTGTGCTCTGTAAAAGTGTACAAGAGGGCTTACTTTAATAATTTCCAAATGGAAGGTGATAGAGAATTACAAACCTAATTTTAAAAATCATTATGCTGTTGCAAATGTGTGTTCTGTTTTAGGATGCTTTTTTTTATTCACTGGTATATGATCCATCACTGAAAACGCTTTTAGCAGACAAGGGAGAAATCAGAGTGGGACCAAGATATCAAGCAGATGTTCCAGACATGCTTGCAGAAGGTAAATATATGATATTTGATTAGTTAAAATCCTCATCTTGGTTCATTACTTATGCTGACTTTCTGAACTAAACTCATCAGCATAGAGGTAGAGAAAGTAAAATAGTAGGTCTTAGAAAATTGATGAATACCAGTAAATATTATGATGAAAGAAAGGATACTTGAGTAGCTGTTGAAAATACATTGTCCTTTCCAAGGCTGTGCACAACACAATTTAGGCATTCAATGTTTGTTTATTTAATTCTACCTTCCAGTTAGTTGTTTGATGTAGGCCTCATGGAAGGATGTTGAGGAGCAACCTATTTTGTAGAGTAATAACATTGTAATAAACTAAGTGAAAATTGTATCCTTTCTCTCCCTTTTAAAAGAGGCTCTGCATAGAGAATGTGTGTCTTTGTGTCTTCTTAATTTAAAATACTGGCTTCTATCAAAGCATCTTGTCTGTTTTGTAGCAACACTGAAACAAATGTTTCGAGCCTTGGCATATCTTTTAAATCACTGCTATTTTTTAAATTAAATTTTATTTATTTATAATCTAGCACAACTACCTGTGCCTTAGTCTTTTGCTACATAGGAACTTTAGTCTTTTAAACTAAATTTCAAGTACAATATTTATTTAGTGTTTGGATGTTATTTAAGAGGCATGAGCAACTGTCTTGTTATGTTTGCAATTATATTTACTTAGTAAATTTTAAAATAAGATGGTTTTGTCAGTGAAATGTGCATTCTACATTGAGTGCTAACAAAAGAAAAAGTTTCCTGAAAATTATCTGTGAAAAGATATTGTTTTCAAGAATCTTGATATTTATTCCTGAAGAAGAAAAGATTATGTGAGAGGAATATCACATGCACTAAGTCAAAGAAGTTCTAAGTGCCCTAAATATGTGTATTTGTAACCTTAAATTACGTGTTTTCCATTCATCATGGGCTTTTTTTTTTTCTGCTATGCTTTTTCTTTCATATAAAACAAGTATTACTTCTACAAAGTTTATTTAATAAACTGTATAAAACAAGAATGATTGGTTTTCTGGGAAATGGCATATTATTTTACGATGAATGCTGTTTAGTAGCTCACCTGCATTATTATTCTGACTCTTCTTTTAATAATCAGAAATAAATTGTAGGAAGTCTGCAGATTTATTTATAAGGTGTACAGACTTGTTCGGGAACAAATTTATGACTAGAATATGATACAGCTATTCTTGCTGTAAAATGTGCCTGTCATGGGGAAACAAATAATTATGTAGTTGCTCATATGCTCAAGAGGAAAGCTTCCCAGAGGACCAAGAGAAAATTACTGTCTCAATGTGTGTATCAAATGACCAGGAAGTATTGATGTACTTCCGAAGTAGCTGGTTGAATTATCAGATTTTCACAATGAGCTGGGGTTGTCTGCCAGTCAGGAAGTCTTTTACTACTGAATTCTGCTACTTAAATTACTAAAGGCAGAGCCTAATTATAGAATAGTGAATACTACATACAAAGTAAATGTTTTTCCCATTGAGATTTTACTTACCTAATTTTTTTCTAAAATTCTATATTTTTAAAAAGTTTCTAAGTTCTTCTTGAGCTTAACTTTCTGAGTTAAATCCTTGATTCAGTTAAATGAGTAGATGATCTTTCTCTTACATCATGAAGACAGCATTCCACTGTGTGTTACTGTCTTGTTTTTCTCACTCCCCATTAATCCCCAAAGTGCCATAAGTGATGCAGTCTTCTTGCTGTCTTTAGTAGGCAGTAATAGTCCATCACTTATTAAGGTCAGAAACACCAAATTGCCCACAAACTGAAGATCTGGCACTATACAGAGAACTTCTTTTATCTGCAGTTATTTCCAGTGGCTGGTGGAAAAAAGTTTGGTTTTAGGAGGGTAAAAATATCTGAATTATTGTAATTTTGACTGATTGTTGTCTAAATGTTTCCATAGCCTTCTGACCTCCAAGGAAAAGAAAAAGGTGATTCAGCTCTTACTGTGTCTTCACAGAAGCTGACAGCGTGAAAGTTAATTCATTCACTGTCAAGCTTTTAATTAATGAAAACAAATCTAAACAATATTTAAATTTAATATAATAAAATAGATATATTTGAAAAATAAAAGATTCTGTGAAGATTTCTGAATCTTGAAATAAATTTTTCAGACTATACTGTTAAAAGTGGCTAATGATCTGTACTCCAAGTTATTATGACGTAATGGATGACTCTCTCAAACTAAAAGCCTAGAGCAATCACCTTAAATTAAAAGAAAGAGTTTAGACAACTTCGAGTCAGTTAGGGATCATTTGAGAAAACCAAAGTTTTATGCCATCTAATAGTAGTATTATATAATAAAATAGAAAGTATTTGCATTTTATTCACATGTAAAATTTGTCACACCAATTCTAATGTAAAGAAAATATACCTTTTTAAAGGTTGTTGCTAGGCATATTTGATGTTTACAGAAAATCCCCAAAGCCATTTAAAAAAAAATAAAATTAGAAAAATCAAAGGTTCACACACCATCAGTTATTTTATAAATCCAGTTCAAATGACTGAAAACATGCTGGTTCAGATTAGCTTTCAGAAGACCAGTCACAAAGTGACTGAAAAATGAAAAAGTTCTTTGAACTGTGAAAGCCTTTCCACGACTTCTATAGACATTAAATTATTTTGATGTAAACACACTAATATATTCTAGTAGATTAAAAATTCAAATTGCTTGCATTTTCTCTATACTGTGATAATTTATGTTCTATCTGAATGGATTACTGTCTTTTTTTTAGTGTTTATTGGAGAACTCTATGCATTTTTTTTTGTCAGAATAGATTCCCCCCCCGCCCCCTTTTTTTGCATCCTTGAGTAAAAAATACCCCAAAACCCCGGTGCTTAGGCCAAACTTTGGATAATGCAACATACCTTCTCCCTCCCATCCTGCCCCAGGAGTGAATTAGATAACTATATTTCTCTTTAATTTTTGAAATGAAAATAATGTTTTCTTTTTAAATGACTAAAAGGTTTATTAAAATCAAGGTACATAATAAAGTATTACATATCCAACTGTTTTTCCACTTTGAGATACAGTGAATCATAAATCCTTTACATAGTTACAGTAAACAAATAAAAAACAAAGTTTAAATTTGATTGAGAATGCCTAAGCCTTGTTTGTATACGCTGCTTTTGTTTGTAGTGGTTTAGCTAAATTGCTTAGATTACACGTTTGGTGAAGACTGTAACCTTGGAGAAACACCAGACCAGATTTCTTTCTGCAATTTCTTACGACTTTTTTAATGAGCAACTTTGAGAGTAAAACTATGATCAAAGTTTTCAGATTTGAATGATATTACAGTTGTTTGAAATCCTTCGTTCTCCTTGCAGTGCCAAGTGCTCCAGTCTTTCTAGACTCTAGTTTGAAGATTTTTAGAGTCTTTTTGGTTGCTGTTATTACACAGGAGAACAGGAGACTACATACTACAGCATTGAGTTAACTTTTGGCTAGTGTGATGCTAAAGAAGGCCCTTTCTCTGCTTTTAACAACACATTCCGCTTATTCTGTGGATATAGTAATTGTTTATTTTAAAATCTGTTTCCAGTGTGGGGTAACATTCTGCTCCTCTGTACAAAGCAAGAATAAAAACATTTGTCTCGGAGAACCAAAGCATGCATTTGGGCAAAGGGTATCTTATTTCAAGCATCCCTACTGTACAGTCCAGGGGCAGGGTACCTGGTTCTCTGCATGTGTTGGCCATAAGCTGCTGTCTGATGCATCCACCTACTGAATATGATCAGCAGCTTATAAAATATATGACTAATAAGTTTAAAAAACCCCAACCAACCAACAAAACAACCCTATGCAGTTTTGCTTTGGGCAAGTCATTATTATCATTCTGATTTGGTTAAAAGGCAAACTTTTATAAATTCTTCTGAGTATGATCAAATAGCTATTATCTTTAACTAACAGATTTTATTTAGTTCTGTTTTGTGTACAAGAAAATGTAAGTATGAGGAAGGTCAGGGAGATTGCTCCAAGGCAAATTGGTTTAGATACTTGGTAGGCTTTTATGGAAATTGATCCTTACTGTTCTCACAACTTGATCTATTTAAAACCAAATGTTTTTAAATTCTGGCTTTTCAACCAGTATTTCTCAGCAGTGGAACAACCAATGCAATGACAAGTTAGATGGTTGCCTAGAAAGCAGAGAATGAGACAAAAGTACCAACATGGCATTAGGGATATAGCTCATGAAGTAGGATAATGCTTAAGAATAGGAGTAACTGGGGAAATTTTTTTCACTCTACAGGGTTTCTTCTAATGCATTAAAAAAAAAAAAAAAGGTTTCTCTCATATTCCTGCACTAGTCTTTCTACCTCGTGCATACTCTCGTATGTCTGATTGTAATTGTCACATAGTAAAATGCATGACAAATACAATCAAAATGTTATTGTAGTTAGGGAAGCCAAGTGTTTAAAATAACATCATTGGCCAAATCAGAATTTCTTAAGTAATGACTTACTTTTATTTATTCATAGGGTTGTGAATCAAGTGGAAAGACTAGGACAAAGCCAACAAAGGTCAATAATTGTTCCCAGTCTGTCAAAGCTCAATTAAAACTTCTGAAGCAAAGGATATTTTCTAAATAAACCTAAGAACTTTATCATGACTGTGTGCTGCTCATGATATGTAAGTCTATTAAAACTATTTGGAGTAAGTCTCTGACTAAAAAAAACTCCAGCCAAACAAAAAAATACTAAATTATGTTTAAAAAAAAAAATCATAAAATTTGGAATAACTGTCTCCTATGATCTTAAAGAAACTTTAACTTGTTGAATTAAATTTTCTGATGTTCCATTTGCTTTGTCAAGCAATAATAAATGAACCTTTTGTGTTCCAGGATTTGATAGAGCAGCGCTTCGTTAGGTAAAGTAAAATGTTTAAATGTTAAAATAGACGCTTTCAAGAAAACTTAGCCCACCAGTTTAAGAACAACCACTCTGAATCAGACCATAAGCTTATCCATGCAGACAATC